AACTAACTGGCTCCTAATGAGCTTAGAAAAAAACAATTACAGGGCTTTCATTTGCAGAATAGGCGATTTTAAGGCTTAAAACAGATACAAATGCGTCGGTTCTACGCATATATTGCAAGTAAGAGTGCACCCTATATAGTCTGACCCTGTCACTCTCTTCAGTACTATGGAGAGACTGACAGGGGTCACACTAAAACAACCAAAAAACCGACTACATCGATGAATTCACACCAAAAAACACAGAAAGACATCAAAGTTAAGTCTCCTTTTATTTATTTTTATAGCAAAAAGTGAAAAAGACTGATATTTGGCCTTCGCAGACCTCAGTATTTTATTTTCTGATACAAAGTCTCAACGGTCGCTTAAAACGCGACACCGACTCTTTGAAAGAAAGTTAAATTTGCATAACGCACTCATAACGTGAGCTTGGGATGCCTGTGATGAATCCTTGTCTAGGATAGATTCATCGGTTCATTTAGAAAAGTTATGGTGGGGTTGGGGAATTTTTGAGCCACAGGAATTTTTTTTTTTTCGTATCAAATTCCTTGTGTGAATTGTTTTTAGGCCGTGGCATGAATATCTTTTAGGTTAATTTTCGTGCATGAATTTTTTTTCCTTTAATTTTGCCTTGCGCGAATATATTTTTTTTTTTTTTACTTCGCCCGCCCCCACCCCGTTATAAGTTTTCTAATGGTCCGTCCCTTAATCTACCATTATCCGAGTGATCTCGGATCTCTGATCCTGTTGCGGATCATCCCTGGGATCATCTCAAAGGAACGCACCCCAAGTAAGTCTAATGAATTACTACTTGCCTTCTTCCTGTCTTCCTTTTAGCGTTTTTTCCGTAACAATGTTATTGCAATTAGGTGTAAGTCCTGGTGCTCTTTATATTATTTGAAAATAAGAATTCATTCGCATGCGTATGAACTGGTTTTATATGTTGCGCTGCGCACAAGGCATCGCTTTAAAAAGAAGGTTTAGCATGCTCTGAAACTGTTTCAGTTTCAGTTTAGTTTCAATCTATTTTTTTTGCCAGAAAAAATACATCTGCATACAGACATTCAATATATTACAAAAATGTTATTTAAAGATTAAATAGACGTAAATTGCAAGTAAAAGAATTTTTAAAAATGTTCTGGCGAGGAAGCTCAAAATGAAAACCTTGGGGCTTATTATATGAGCTCCTCCCCAACCTAAGACTAAACAGAATGAATAAATAAACGGCAAAGTCAACTCATACTGAAATATAATTAGGATAAAAAGGAAGCAAAACAAAACGGAAAAAACAGACAAAAAGCAGCAAAAAACAAGTATTATTTACAAATGGTTAATCAACTGAGAAGAAATGCTTTTAATCTGGATTTAAAAAGAGAGAGAGTGGCAGCAAAAACGAACGTAAAGCATTTTTTCTCTTTAATTCTCATCTCGTAAGTATATGGTACAAACTGACCCAGACATAATTTAGCCCATTTTTTGAACATGTGTATAACTGTTAAGACTTCCTGGCTGCGATGAGACATTGATAGTACATAAATAAAAAACCTTTTTTAATCAATTTGAATCTTTGTTTAACAGATGTATCGATCAAGACTCGGTTAATAAACTTTGTATCACTGATCATGACAGTTTAGCTCATTTTCTGAAAACCAGACAATTGTGCTATTTGTTTTGCTAATTGCAGGGCAGCAAAAAGATTGCCAATAGCTCTGTCGTCTAATAAAATAAAAATACAGCCCACATATCCAATTGGTTTTTGACATGATGCAGCTATCACATGAGGAAAACAGGTATATTAAAAAAAGGTTCGCTTGAACGTAGTTGCTTCGGAGAAAAGTCATGGTAATGACAAACTACCAAGCAATTAGAAAACTGTATTGTTCTGCAAAATTCACTGGAGAGTCGAGGAGAGGTACATGGCGAGTTAATTTTTCTCTCAGACAAAAAAGGACAGCTAAATATGGTGGTGAATGATGGTGCAAGTTCCGTGTTAATATTTTGGGTTCACTATACTCAATCGAAACGAACGTCACCATAGCGTTTTTAATTTTAAATATTTTACCTTTCATATAACAGATCCGAATTGACGCCCCGGGAGATGATGTGAACGAGGGAAATAAATTTAAAAAAGCAATTTAAATGAAGATATAATCTTGACGTAGTAAAATAGCAATTTAAGCAATTGCAAATAAACCGCCCAAAATGTTAAAGTTATAGCCCACAAAATTTGACATGTTTGGGGATATACTCAATTAAGACTTCCTCTTCTAAAGAAAATGTGGCCAATTTAGTGCTGGTATCCATGTGAACGTCAGTCAAAGTTGAAGAAAACCGGCACAAGCAATTTGAAGCTACAAAACACAGAAACACTTTAATATAAGCCCCACCAGTAACAGGCTCGCCAATATATTCTCCCTCTAACTTGCATTGAAATGAATTTGATTTATTATGATATTTTGAAGCTTTTACCATAACATAACATAACTTTATTATTTATATAGCGCAAAATACATTGGTATGATCTAATGCGCTTTAAGGTCGGTACACACTAGGCGACAAGTTGCTGCAACACGTCGCGGCGACAAATTACTCCGTGTGTACAGATCGGGCGACTAGTTGCAGCAACAAGGTGTGGCGACACGTCGCAGCGACAAATCGCTTCGTGTGTACTGGAGAATCTTTGTGAAAATATTTGTCTCCGCAACAGAATTTTGTCGCTGCAACAAGTCGCAAAAAATCAAATCAGACTGAATCTGTGCGACTTGTTGCGGCGACAAATTCTGTTGCAGCGACAAAGATTTTCACAAAAATTCTCCAGTACATACGAAGCGATTTGTCGCTGCAACATGTCGCCGCGACATGTTGCTGCAACCTGTCGCCTAGTGTGTACCGACCTTTACATTACAATGATTGTAATACTACAATGAAATGGATAAAAAATTACAGCTTTCCTAAATAGTTAATAAATGGATACTAGATAAAAATATTATATATGCGTGCAAAAAATCTATGTTAAAATATTATAGGTTATAAGCTAAAAGCTAATTTAAAATAATGAGTTTTTAACCGTGCCAGTAACTGCAAAACATATTCAAATCAGCACTGCGTTAGCTTGAATTCTTTCGAACAGCTTTTTCCAATTCCGTTATAATCCCCTCAAAAGATGTATAATCCCAGGGCTTTTAAGCCGCAGTTTACGGCACCGCATATCATATGTTTGGCTCACAAACTTAACACCTCCGTTGAGCAAAATCTTCTCGTTCTTGCTCTCGCGATGTTTACTAAAACTGCTGATTGCTCTCAATTAATCGTCGAATTCAGTTCTTTTTTTCATGATTTTTATATGATAAAAACAGGTTACATTCTAATTTCCTAAGCTCGAACGAACGTTTTATTTTCTTTAATTCTTACCTCGTAAATGGCCCAGACTTTCGAGCCCATTATTTAAACATTTCTACATTGTTACTGAGACCTCACAGCTGCCTGCGATGACATTATGAGCGCGTCAGTTTAACTTCTAGCAATTGACGAAAACCGTTTTTTACTCAATTTGAATATATGCTTAACAGAAATATCGATCAAGACTTGGTTAATAGACTTTTATTACTAACAGTTTAACTCGTTTTCTAAGAGCCAGGCAATTGTGCTATTTGCTCGCTAATGGGCGCACGGCAACACAAAGGCAACACCAAGACTGTCGAAATCCATCGTTTAATAAACTGAAAATACAGAGCAAATATTTAATTGTTTGCTGACAAGGTGCATGTAGTAGTCATATAAGTAGGACAGATATATTAAAAAGAGTTCAGTTGACTGTAGCCGCATCTCAGAAAAGTCATGGAAATGAAAAATCTGACTGGAGGTGAAAACCTGCAAACAATTGCAGAACTTGACTGCTCTGAGGAATTTACTCGAGAGGTACATGGCGAGCTCGTTTTTCTCTCTGTCATTAACACTTTTTGTCAATTACAGCATTTTTTGGGGAATACTCTGATCCTAGTTGCCCTTCGCAAGGACACATCAATTCATCCGTCATCAAAACTCTTGTATCGTAACCTAGCGATAACCGATCTTTGCGTTGGTATCATTCTCGAGCCTCTAAGCGTTGCATATTGGACATCCGTGGTGAACGAAAGATGGGATATTTGCCATTACGCAGATTTGATATCATATTTCGCAGGTGTTACGTTGTGTTCAATGTCGTTGATAACACTGACTGCAATAAGCGTGGACAGACTTCTCGCTTTGCTACTGGGTCTCAGATACAGACAAGTTGTAACTTTGAAAAGGACACGTTTAATTGCTATTGGTGGTTGGATTGTGTCTATTTTCGGTGCATCTAGCTTCTTTCTGAATAGTTTTATAGTTTCATTGTACGTGTATATTGTTACAGCTTTTTGTTTAGTCACTACAATCTGTGCCTACACAAAATCTTCATGTCTCTGCGTCATAACCAAATTCATGGTCAGAACCATGTTGTTCAAGGGCAATCGAGCCAAGTAAATACACTGAATAAAGCTCGATACAGAAAGGCAGTGTACAGTGCACTGTGGGTGCAGGTAACATTGGTTATTTGTTATCTGCCGTACGTTATAGCTGAAGCTTTAACGCCTCAAAGGGAGATGCCTTTATCTACTTACCTTGCTTTGCAATTTACAGGTACTTTAGTGCATTTAAACTCGTCGTTAAATCCGTTTCTGTACTGCTGGAAGATCACAGAAGTGAGACAAGCTGTGAAAGAAACATTACAACAACTACACTTCTGTACCTGAACTAAGACTTAGACTAAGAACATTTACTAATAACGAACTTGATAAGAAAATATATATAAGAAAACCAGACAAATGTCCTAGTTCGAATTGCACCTTTAAGATTGTTTTCTGTTTCATTGCAGATTGTAAAGACACAAACAAAATCATTTGTTTATGTTAAAAAGTTTAATAATCATAAAACAAAATGAAAATATCACTAAAACTAGTCAGTTAGCTAATTAGTTCTCTGGCAATGAAGACTACGAAGCAGGCACATATTCTTAAAGAGAACAGCTCACTTGCTCGCAACATCACACCGACAAACTCTTTTGACTAATGTTTTTTAAAGCCAGAAGACAATCAGAGAGCTTTACTGTTCTGCCGAATTTACTGGAGAGGTACATGGCGAAGTTAACTTGAAAATACACTGCATAAATAACAGCTGTTGATAACCATAAAAGCCACTATGTTCATAGTATAATCAAGTTTAACAAACGTCATAAGTTCAGTTTGGTAACACTAATCAGGACGCAAAAATATTACTTTTCCGAATGTTTTTCTCATAATCGAACAATGTTTATTGTGGGATAATCAGTGAGGCCTAGTACATGATGTAAGTTAAATTTGATGGCCAATAAATACACATTAACATTGTTTTGTTCCCTAATACAGGTCATTTTACTAAAAGCTTGCGAGCATACGAAGGCTTTTGTTTTTAGATATAATGAAAAGTGAACCTAGCCTCCCCGCAGACGTCTTTGGGGTTCGTTCGTCACGCATTCATTTCTCTCCCACGGACCGTGGGGGAGAAATGAACCCTATACTGCTGGTTTGCAGGTGACGTCACTACGGCCATGTTGGTGGTTTTCTTTGTGAAGTAACCTCTATTTTCATTTAAATCCTTCGAGAAAACAATTCTATTGTATTGATCCCCAACATGGCCGCCTTGTCACGAGGCTGCAAACTAAGAATATCCACATGGTAACGTGATATCAATGGAGGAGAAGGGGCTGTCATCAGTCCTCCTCGGCGGATTGCTCAGATGACTAACTGCTAACTACTGCTGTTATTTGCCATCGTATTAATTGTTTTATCCAAAATAAAGTCTGTTGCGAGATCGAATTATAGCAGGAATTAGTAGCAAAAGCGAAGTACTTTCTCAGCTAAGAGCTAAAGAAGACTCATATACAGTGCTTAAAGGATGGAACATCACCATATGGCCCTAGGGCACGAAACCCCTTCTTTTACAAAAATGGGCCTTGGGTTCATATAACAGTTGAGTACGCCACCAGCACAGCTAACTTTTGTCCCCTCTCACTTTCAAATTCGTTCCTACGGGCCTGCATGACAAGACAGCATATCTCGGGGAAAAAAGCGGCGAGAAAACTGCTTCGATTTGAAAGTTTGGCTGAGCTTGGTAATTTGTATTGCGCGTCACACAGAAAAACAGGAACACGTTGATTTGGCCAATTGATTATTTGTTGGTGAATCATAATAAAACTTATCTTCTCGGAGAAATGGTAGTCTTTCGTTGTTTTCGCTTTATTTGTAATTAAACTTTAATCTGAATAATTATTATAGGTAAGTGCATCAATCTTAGCCATCGGTAGCGGTCCGGCAAACTGAGAAAGTTTTACCTCGAATTATGGATTGCTTACTAGCCTACGTAATTCAGTTTACTTTAACAAAGGGAAGAAGAACAACAGTCAACAAGCTGTAAAATAATCGAACAACGGACAGAGGTGCTATGTACAAGTTGCTGTATACGGGGAAAGTATATATATAATATAATAGTTTTACCTGGATTTTTGAACTTGGTTTAGCAAAAAAATCAACTCACTCTACTACTTGGCAATTTAAAACAATGAAAAATCATTAAAAGGCCGATTAAAAGCCTTTAACTGACGCCGGGCAGTAAGTCAGTAGTGGTCCCTAGAAGTATATCAACGAGTCACAATTTTAATGATGTCAAGTGATTTCTGCACCGTTCTTTGGAGTTAGTCGGTTGCAGGCAATTACCTTCAAGAGGGCATTCCGGTTTCTTGACGGTAATTGCCTCAGACAAAACGTGATTTACCAAGCGACTGTAACGACTGGAACAACAACAGAATCATACATTGGACTCAGTAGCCACTAACTTCAAAGAACAGTACAGAAATCACTTGACATCCTTCCGACACGCGAACAGAAGAAACGAGACGGAACTGTCCAAGCGGGTGTGGACCCTCAAAGATGCCAACAGATCCTTTCACGTGCAGGGGAAAGTACTCAGCAAAAAAAGCTAGCAAAAATGTAATCTGTGCCTCCAAGAAAAAATTTTTATCATTTGTGAAAAACACTTATGTACTCTGAACAAAAGAAACGAATTAGCAAGTTCGTGCCCCTACAGAAATAGATTCACTCTCAGAAATTTTAGAATAACGTAAAGCAAGGTAACGAAACCACACGGATCCCGAAAAACCCATCGGGGAACCTCTATACCTCCGTGTCGACTTTGTGTCTATTTACAAACGTTTTAATCACTCTGCGTCTGCCTCGTCACCAGCCTCTCGCAATCGCATATTCAGAGACTTTTAAAATCGTAGGCTTTCTCATCATCCCGCACTGGCTGTTCTACACTCGTTTCCCACACCCCGCATTCAACTCCGCCCTCCTCACTTAGCTTTGGAAAAGATACTTATCATGTTGCACGCGCAAACAATTCTCAGACGTAGTCTAAAAATTGTTTTCTCCGAGTAGTTGCATCTTTTTCACAAAACATGGTGGAGTTGCTTTCACACCCCAGTGCAAATTGCGAACTAAAACAAAATGCCCTTCAGCATGCCTCCAGGGTGAACCTGTTTACAGTTAGTTGTCTCCTAGAGAAGTGCGATAGTTTTAAAGCACAATTACTCTTCCACTGCATTTTTCTTCAAAAGCCACTGCAATACGACCCCGCTGGGACACTGTTAATGCAAGGCTTCGTGTTCCAAAAAAATTATGCTTTTAAGTTTGGTTCAGCTGAATCTTTCGCTCAAAGTCTCCATTGACAGTGTATATTGCTACTATCAGGAGGTGTGTCTTTCTTTCTTCACCAGCGACTACAACGTGTTCACCAACTGGGTGGCACGCAATGCGGTAATAGCGATCTCCTTAGATGTTGACACTGAAGTTGGCCAGATGTAGTCCATCTAAATTGAACAAGTGACATGACTGGTCTGAGTCCAACACCATAACTCGCCCATCTTTAGACGCAGTGATTTCCTGTGCAGACTTGATTATCCCTTCACAAAACGAACCAACATAGCTACCGTTCCTTGCATGGTATAGATCAACCACTTTATGTTCCTTCAATATGAACACCTTGCTACCGCTGACGGTCATTCTGTTGAAACCGCTCCCTTTCCCAACAGAAAACCTAAGCTGAAAGTCAAGAGTCTCGTTAAAGACTTGCACTTCAAACTTCTCTGGCGACGAGATTCTGGGTTACATCAACTGTGTCACTAGTAGATAGATCGTATTGTCCACGTCTGAAATGGTGAGATCATAGATCTACGAGGTAGTTTTAGATTGGGGTCTTACACTCATATAAAAGTTCCCATTGCTATCGAACACTTTCAAGGTATAATAGTCTGCTATAAGGAACTGTCCATCACTGCTTGTAGCGATACCAAGCGGGGGTATTCCTTCTCTGATCCTGTGATACCTCTTCGATAAATGACCACCGAATACAGCAATTAATGCCCCATGCCTTGTTTTTTTTAAGAGCTGAGCTGCTTCCTAGTACAGAGCGGACTTTAACTTCTCAAAGTTCCTTCCTCTCTAGGCCTTGAATTTTGGAATAATTATTACTTTAATTTATTAAAAATTGCTTTTCTGCTGAAGATAATAGAAGTAAGACAAGCTGCGAAACACGCACTTAGGAAACTTTTTCCGTTTATCGACTTAGCTAACGTTTCAGAAATGTGCATTGCAACCCTGACAGACAATCCTGTAGCAAAAAACAAATTCCAGACATCATCGTCCGTTGTGATAGATTTCAAATGTGTCCCTACATTCTCGCCTTCTATCAGCAGTTAGGAGAAATCTAGACTCTTCATCGGCCCCGGTTCTTCAAAAGGTAGATAGAGCTATTATTAGCTATCCACTGAATACTCTCTAGCAAGTGGATAACGCAATTGGTTGGATTAACACGTGATTCACTGGCGAGAGATAATGGATAGCTCTCCCCGCTAAACTTTTCAACGACTGGGGCCAGTCTACAAAAGCACTTGTTCTAAGATGATTAAAAATTTCCATGGTTATAACACGAACCCCTTTGATAATTTATGTGCGTACGTACTGGGTCTTTAATGGCTCTTGACTGGGTTGAATACATACCTTGCTTTTTGAATAACGAAATTCCCCAGTTTTGCTGACGTATTACCCACTTCCTACGAAAGATTATCACTCGTTCGATGAATTGGGGCGGTTGATCAAAGGACGGTATGTTGAGTACCAGGTTGAGTACGTACCTTGCATTTGAATAACGAAACTCCCTTAAATCGTGAATTGCGGCTGTTCATCAAACGACAACTTTCAAGGGTTTAAAATACCTTGTATTGATCAGAGTATCGCGATCAAGAGATCAAGAGCTTGAACTATTCTCCTGCATCATAATGACAAATATTGTAGAAGAATACATCCACCTGGATTTGAACAAGTTGAAATTCTAAGACAGATCTACCAAGTTTCAGAAGTTTACGCTCGTCGACTGACAACACTGAGCCCAGAGGTGACAAACTGAACAGCTTGAATAGGTAGGTTAACCTGATTGTTTAGAAATCGACTGTAAGCTTTCATGCACTCCTTAAACTTTAAGATTCATTCATTCATTCATTTTTGCCATTAACCACATATAAATACAACAATATACAAGAAATTTTTGAAATTATTTACAAAATTAAATTTTTAAAGTGGTAATGACAAGGAAGCCTAAATAGAAGCCGGAGGCTTATCTACTATATGCTTCCTGCTACTATAGGGTAAACCATGGGAGTTTAAGGGTGTTGAATGAAAAATGGCTTAATTGTTAAAAGAAAAGGTATGTGGCTCAAATGAATATATTTTACTGAAAACTAATGGAATTTACTAATGGAAAAAGCAGCAAACGCCAACCGTAACATTTTCCTGCTAATTCCAGTTGAGTTCCCCGTTTTCTGAGATCTTCTGGATCGTGGTGTCAAAACGTCCTAGAAATACGATGGTTGTATCTAACATGTTAAAGCCTTGTTATTAAGGGGAAAACATGTCTCGGTAAAAAAGGATCACCTGCTTATCTGAGCTACCTTGGGTGAGCCAACTTTTTATACATTTCATTACAAAACGTGGTGTACCGTTAACATGAGAAACAGAAACTTGGCTTGGCTAAAAGGATGACCCACTTTGCCGGATCACTCTTTTAGGGTGGTAGGGTCACCCTCCTAGCCGGGTCAACGTTTCTCCATACAGCAATTTCGAGAAAGGTTGTCAGAAAAAGTACACGCGACCATCCCGAAAGGTATTGTGGGTGGTTTTGAGTTCCCTGTTCTTCAAAGAAATTTGGAAGAATGGCACAAGAGGCCATAGACGTATGTTTTGCTAATGCTAAAGGAAAGCAACAATAGACGATTCGACAGCTACAGGGTCAGGAACAGCGTATTGATCATATCCCATATTACCTTTAATTTCGGGATTGTCGCGAGCACATTTTTTCTGTTAACCTTTCTCGAAATAGCTGTATTGACACGTTGGCTCGCCCAGCTGGGTCGACTCTGTCAAGGCGGCAAGATCAGAGCATGCGTGAACGCTGTTGGCTCCGGCAAAGGGGTCAACTTTATTCTCATACAAACGCTCGCTGAAGTTGACTGGACTGGGACCGTGACCCTCTCTCGGGACAACGTTTCTTCACATACCGTAAAAGAGGGTCTAAGTATCTCCCAAATTCAATAATAACAGCAACTCATTTATGGAGTAAGTTTAAATAACGATGCTCGGGCCATTGAGAGACATAGAATTAAAAGAGAATATTTCTCTGTTATTTTTTTACTTTTATTTTATTTTTTGTCGCTTTAATACTGTAATGTACATTAGCATGTAATCTATTTTACGCATGTCTATATGATGAGTGTATATGATAGCATCAAGACTCGCACTGAACGCACACGCGCAGATTTTCTTTCCCTTGTGGCGTTGTTTCTACATATTGAGTTTCTGGATCATTCTGCTTATGAACTGCGTCAGTTTCGACTGTGCAAATGTTTCAGTGTCGTCAGTGTCGTTGTGGTTGTTGTTGTTGTTCACTTGGTTTCACGTTTTTGATAATCTATCCTTGGTGTAATCCGGCATTATGGTTCTCAACGGATATCATGCAAGCAATAACATGCATATTATTTTACAAATTCAATGCAAAATCCCAATTATACGTTACATTAATGTGACAGCTTATTTGGTCTAACATGATTTTTCTTGGCGCCTTCGTTGTGTTTATAAGTTATTCATACCGATAATTACGTGTGTATTATCTTACAAGCAAAGTTATGCGTTGGTTACTACAGCTGATAATTCCAGCGTTTGCATGTTTATTATTTTGAAGGTCACAATTATATGCTCCGTATAACTGAGCTACGTGCTCATCACTGATTTCCCTGATCATGATCCACTTCTTCCTCTCCGTCGTAATCGTCCCTTGGCTTACTGTCATTTTCTTGGATCTCAATTTCTCCATCAGCAAGGAAATTCCTGTTCGAGAAGCCTGTTGCTAAGTTCCCCTGTTCTGGACTAAATGTCTGAATAAAGACAAAAAAAATTGAGGGTAAACAATCAGCTATGATCTTTTAATTCGTCATGATCATCTATAAATTGTACGTTTATCGACAGAAATCATTGATGGTTGTAGGATTTTCCTGTGAAGTATTTCCTGACTCGTCACCGGTCGGCTTTGCGTAACGCGCACGCCAGGAGCAGAGATTGATGGGATTGGAAAAGGGAAGAACTCTCTCCCTCGCTTTCCTCTTTCCCATCACACCCAGCGCGCCACTAGGGAGAGGCTGCGAGGGACGAGTAGGGACGTGTCAGGAGTATTTCTTTGTTTTTTTTTTTTTAACCTTTAAAGTATAATCGTAGTAACACCTAAAGGGTCAGTAATTACTGCCACCTCCTTTACCCCTCAGCCCTGTAATCCAAGTCCAGTCCTGTATACGAGTTTTATATATTTGTTTAGTAATGACAAATTTGCAAGTGCCTTTTTAGGTGGCAACGAAAGGTGCTAAACTAGATTAAGACATTGGTGTTTGAAACCTGGAGGGTAAACTTTTTGCCAATAAATCAGAACTGACTATATTCGTCTGAGCTCGAAAATCAAAGCGAAAGATTTACTTTTGTGGGTGAAGGATGGGGTTGGAAGGGGTGGCCAGGAATGCAAGGTAAGGAAGGTTGTTGGTTTAGACTCCCCTGATCCCCGCCTCCTTCATACCCACCCCCTCTCCCCCAATTCTCTCTTCTATTTTCCAGTAAAGATTTATTTCCCATTTTACCAGTCAATAAAAGGCCAAAATAGTCCTGGCATTTAATTGAGGAATGGTAACATACCATGAAAACGAAACGCATTGACAAACTATTGCACTAATAACTCTCACCTTGAGTTCTTTACCATGAGAGCGTGCCGAGGCCGTCTTGGGTGTGTATATTTGTTCGGAGCCAGACAACTGGCACATTTCAAATGAGGAGCTAGAAGGGTTGTAGACATTCGTCTGCACAAATAGTCTTTTTCTCGTCACGGAACTTATAAATGCTCCTCCCTTGAAACGCGCTGTTTTTTTGAGTCTGTTGTTTTGTACCTGCCGAAACAAGAGAGTACAAGATTGCATGTTACGGTGAGATCATTTGTGGTAAGAACATTGGACGGAGCGTGCGCCAGAGAGGAAGACAGACATCGTGGGAAAATGTTCCGAGTTCCGAAATATGAAGATTACTGTCTTTTTCACGTGACCTCTTTTTTCAGCCTGATGGTTTCCCTCGACGTCCTCTCGCCGTGAAAATCAGGTTGTAACACTTGTCCATACTTAAGCACGGCAAATGATTGATTATGGTGATCATGACGAGTTGGAGTTAAAGTATAAGCTTATATGATAAGGAGATGTGAATACAATTTTCCATTTTATCAGTTATGAAACGATCTTAAACATAAATTACACCTGAGATTCCAACACCACCCTTCCCCCTATGTAACGATAAGAACAATAAGATACCTCGATTTTTGCCGGGTAGCCTTATGTGCTACCAATACGTTAAGCATTACCATCGAATTACAAGATTGGAGTAAAGAATAACCTTCGAAGGCACGAGCTCTGAACAAAGAGGAACTTACCTTTTGAATTCCGACAAGAATCAGTAGGATGACTATTACGGGACCACACACGATGAGAACAATGATCCATCGTGCTAACCCTGAACTATCTTTTTTGTTCCTCAGGGCACTCAGGAGGAAATACACTCGTGATGCTTACACTGATAGTTTGGTTGAACTTCTTATCACCACCTTCCGCTCTCCTAATGACATCTTTCAATCCGTCGGTTCTGCTTACGCTCCATGTGATTTTGAAGTAAATTCTGTAATCGAAAATGCTTCCTTGACGGAAGTTACTTATTTCCACCTTCATAAAAAGTTCGTCGTATGCTTTCTTGCGCACTTTGGTTAAATGTTCAGTGAGTTCACTATGAAGCGTTTTGTACTTCTCTGAGTTGATATCGGAATAGGTAGGGGTCCACTTGTACTCAATGGTTACGGAACCTTGAATCAATCGGAATGTCACTGGTGATTGTGATGGAGCTGCCGATGACAACGTTGATTGTGATGACGTTTGCCATGGTGATGGTAATGATGACGATGGTGATAGCAATGCTGTTGACGATGACGATATCAACTGTGATGGCGAAAATGACGATGATTGTGATGACGTTGGCGGTAGAAATAATGATGCTGATGGCGATGGAACTGGTGATGACTGTGATAGAGGTTGGAACGATGATGATGACACTGGTGATAATGATACGGATTGCGTTGCCGATTTTGATGGAGCTGGTAGTGATGATAACTGTAACGGAGAAAGGGACGATGGTGATGATGATGATGATGATAAAACCGATTGTGATGGAGCTGGTGTATCCGATGATGACTGTAATGGTGGTGGGGACGATGATGATGATGATACCGTTTGTGAAGGCGATTGTGATGAAGCTGATAATGACGATGATGATGATGATGATGATGATGAAACCGATTGTGATGGAGCTGGTGTATCCGATGATGACTGTAATGGTGGTGGGGACGATGATGATGATGATACCGTTTGTGAAGGCGATTGTGATGAAGCTGATAATGACGGTGATGATGATGATGATGATGATGAAACCGATTGTGATGGAGCTGGTGTATCCGATGATCTGACTGTAATGGTGGTGGGGACGATGATGATGATGATAATACCGATTGTATCGGCCATTTTGATGGAGTTGGCGATGACGATGATGACGATAGCGATGATGACTGTGATTGAGGTGGAGAAGATGATGATGATAACGATTGTGTTGGCGATTGTGATGGAGCTGGTGATGACGATACCGATTGTGAAGGCGACTGTGATAGAGATGGCGCTGACGATAACGACTGTGATGGAGGTGGTGATGACGATGCCGATTGTGACGATGATTGCGATAGAGCAGGCGACTGTGATGACGACGGAGACGATGATGGCGTTGAGGGCGTTGGCGGTGTTTTTGCCTGTGATAACCCTGCTGGTGATCGTTCTATTTGTGGTGTTGATGATGGCGATGGTGACGATAATGTCATTGTTAATAGGAATGACTCTGATGATGGCAATGATGCAGATGAGAGCGATGATGATGATGATGATGGAGGCATCTGTGGTAATGAACTCGTTGACTGTGTAGTGGGCGATGGTGTTGGTGTCGAGGATGAGGATGAGGACAACATTGAAGCTGATGATATTGATCGTGATGATAATGACAAAGATGCCGATGATGCCAGTTCAGGTGTTACAAGTAATGATAATAAATGAAACGATTGTGAATGCGTAGCTGACGATGCCGATAGTGAGGTTGTCGAAGTGATTAAAAATGACAACGATGTCGATGATGACAAATGTGGTGTTCACGATAGTGATAATGACATTGATTGGCGTGAACTACTAATCTCGATGGACATGTCAGATATACTTGCCGATTCTATTGGTGATTGCATTGATTTTGTAACTGAAGAGGGAGAAACAAAATGGGAAAGATAAATTCATCATTCTTTAGCTTTCTAACATGATATAAGCGTGTAGAGGTGCGGTGAGCGAGAGGTTAGCACGACCAACGTAGCATCTGTAGGTCCAGTGTCGAGCCTTTTCACTCATTATTTTCACATTTCCCATAATAGGCCTTGTTTCAGTTCGGTTATAAGCCCCCCCCTCCCCCTCCTCGGGATATAAGTCCTCCTTAAACAAACCCCTTACGAATTGTATAGGCCCAGCGGAAGTTCAGGGTGTATGGTTTTAGTGGTCTAGTATGTTACGAATTAAGCCCCGTTGGTGTCTTCCCCTGTCTTCTTTTTTATTAATATGCATAACTGTCTTCCTCCATACTAATGAGGGTATTCCTGCATACTAATAACTGTCTTCCTCCATACTTATTAAGTGCCTTCCTGCATACTAATTCGGTATAGGTTTACTAATATGCGTCTCTCTCTACTACTCTAGGCACAATAGGCTTGCCCGTTTAGTAACTTGAGCCCAGTTTTCGGACCGTGTATTGAAAAACGAATAAGAGAAGCGATCACCTAGCAACGCGAGAAACTGACGGCTTACTATATCTTATTCAGCGCTATAAATCAGATATATAAACAAAACACAAACGCGCATACACACAGTAGAGCTGAAAACTCTTTACTTCAATTTTGCCTGACTATTACAAAACCGTTGTCTCCGTTCTATCTCGAGGAAATGAAAAACTATTAAAGTCTTGTCATTTTCACGGACCGTTGGTCAGTTCATGATTATGCGAGTTAACAACCCGACATTTGCATACAAATTGCCTCTACAGCTAGTCCCAAGGGACAGTCTTGGCAAATTATTATAAAATCACTAAACAATAAAAAACTTAAGAAGGATCAATTGAAATACGCGACTATTAAATGCTAGCGATAAAATCAGACACGTTTCCTAAGACACAAGAAATCCACTTTATGACCCTAAAATAAAAAAAATAATAATCATTGATTTAGAAGGAATCTATTAAAATAGTCAAAGAAAGCAAGCTATTTTTTTTACCCTGCGTTTCCCTCCTCCATTTTTTTATTCCCTCCTCAATGTTTTATTCCCTCCTCCACAATTTTATTATTTTCTCTCCTCAATGTTTTTCTTCTCTTCTCCACAATTTTATTATTTTCCCTCCTCCTCCTCCTCATTTCTAAAACGTGACACCGACTCTCTTGTAAGAAAGTTAAATTTGCATAACGCACTCATAACGTGAGCTTGGGATGGCTGTGATGAATCCTTGTCCAGGATAGATTCATCGGTTCATTTAGGGGCGGACCATTAGAAACGCTATGGTGGGGGGAATTTTTGAGCCACAGGAATTTTTTTTCGTTATCAAATTCCTTGTGTGAATTGTTTTTAGGCCGTGGCATGAATATCTTTTAGGGTTAATTTTCGTGCATGAATTTTTTTTCCCTTTCATTTTGCCTTGCGCGAATATTTTTTTTTGTACTTCGCCCGCCCCCACCCTCGTTATAAGTTTTCTAATGGTCCGTCCCTTAATCTACCATTATCCGAGTGATCTCGGATCACTGATCCTGTTCCGGATCATCCCCTGGGATCACCCCAAAGGAACGCACCCCAAGTAAGTGTAATGAATTACTACTTGCCTTCTTCCTGTCTTCCTTTTAGCGTTTTTTTCCGAAACAATGTTATTGCAATTAGGTGTAAGTCCTGGTGCTCTTTCTTTCATTTGAAAATAAGAATTCATTCGCATGAGTATGAACTGGTTTTTATATGTTGAGCTGCGCACAAGCCATCGCTTTAAAAAGAAGGTTTAGCATGCTCTGAAACTGTTTCAGTTTCAGTTTAGTTTCAATGTATTTTTTTTGCCAGAAAAAAATACATATGCATACAGACATTCAATATATTACAAAAATGTTATTTAAAGATTAAAGAGACGTAAATTGCAAGTAAAAGAATTTTAAAAAAATGTTCTGGCGAGGAAGCTCAAATGGAAACCTTGGGGCTTATTATATGAGCTGGCTCCCTAAACTAAGACTAAACATAATGAATAAATAAACGGCAAAGTTATACTGAAATATAATTAGGATAAAAAGGAAGCAAAACAAAACGGACAAAACAGACAAAATGCGGCAAAAAACAAGTATTATTTACAAATGGTTAATCAACTAAGAAATATGTTGTTAATCTGGATTTAAAAAGAGATAGTAGCAGCAAAACAAACGTAAAGCATATTTCCTCTTTAATTCTCATCTCGTAAGTATATGGTACAAACTGACCCAGACATAATTTAGCCCATTTTTGAACATGTGTATAACTGTTAAGACTTCCTGGCTGCGATGAGACGATTAGTAGTACATTAATAAAAAGCCTTTCTTAATCAATTTGAATCTTTGTTCTACAGATGTATCGATCAAGACTCGGTTTTATAACTTTGTTTCACTGATCATGACAGTTTAGCTCGTTTTCTAAAAACCAGACAATTGTGCTATTTGTTTTGCCAATTGCACGGCAGCAACAAGATTGCCAATAGCTCTGTCGTTTAATAAAATGAAAATACAACCCACATATCTAATTGGTTTTCAACATGATGAAGCTATCACATAAGGAAAAGAGATATATGAAAAAAAGGTTCGCTTGAACGTAGTTGCTTCGGAGAAAAGTCATGGTAATGACAAACCACCAAGCTATTAGAGAACTGTATTGTTCTGCAAAATTCACTGGAGAGTCGAGGAGAGGTACATGGCGAGTTAATTTTTCTCTAAGACAAAAGAGGATAGCTAAATATGATGGTGAATGATGGTGCAAGTTCTATGTTAATATTTTGGGTTCACTATACTCAATCGAAATGAATGTCACCCTGGCGTTTTTAATTTAAATATTTCACCTTTCATACTAGGTCCGAATTGGACGCGCCGGCAGATGATGTGAAGGGGGGAAATAAATTTAAAAAGCAATTTAAATGAAGATATAATCTTGACGTAGTGAAATAGCAATTTAAGCAATTGCAAATAAAGCGCCCAAAACGTTAAAGTTATAGCCCACAAAGTTTGACATGTTTGGGGATATACTCGGTTAAGACTTCCTCTTGTAAAGAAAACGTGGCCAATTTAGTGCTGGTATCCATGTGAACGTCAGTCAAAGTTGAAGAAACACGGCACAAGCAATTTGAAGCTACAAAATACAGAGACACTTTAATATAAGCCCCACCAGTAACAGGCTCGCCAATATATTCTCCTCTAACTTGCACTGAAATGAATTTGATTTATTATGATATTTTGAAGTTTTTACCAGTAACTGCAAAACATATTTAAATCAGCACTGCGTTAGCTTCTTTCGAACAGCTTTTACCAATTCCGTTATAATCCCCCTCGGATATAAGCCCCTCCGTTTAATTTATCAAGATCCCTTCTAAAAACCCTTACAAAGATGTATAATCCCAGGGCTTTTAAGTGGCAGTTTACGGCACCGCATATCATATGTTTGGCTCACAAACTTAACACCTCCGTTAGCAAAATTTTCTCGTTCTTGCTCTCACTCTTACTAAAACTGCTGATTGCTCTCAGCTAATCGTCGAATTCAATTCTTTTTTTCGTGATTTTTATGTGATAAAAACAGGTTATATTCTAATTTCCTAAGCTCAAACGAACGTTTTATTTTCTTTAATTCCCACTTCATAAATGGCCCAGACTTTCAAGCCCATTATTTGAACATTTTACATTGTTACTGAGACCTCACTGCCTGCGATGACATTACGAGCGCGTCAGTTTAACTTCTAACAATTGACGAAAACCGTTTTTACTCAATTTGAATATATGCTTAACAGAAATATCGATCAAGACTTGGTTAATAGACTTTTATTACTAACAGTTTAACTCGTTTTCTAAGAGCCAGGTAATTGTGCTATTTGCTCGCTAATCGCACGGCAACACAAAGGCAACACCAAGATTGTCGAATTCCATCGTTTAAGAGTGATTTTCTGTAAAATTCGAACTTCGGCCTCACACGGTACCTCATCGATTTGGCTGATTTTCGGCATATAGTCTTAGAATGGTGTCCTAAATACTGAATGCATATTCTAAGGTTCGAATTCTCTTTGGTTTCAAAGATACAGGAATGACAGTTTTGACGAGGCCTCGAGGGGCCGCCATGTTGGTGAACTGAAGGAGATTTACGGTAATTAATTCTAGCCTTAATCGTGACTCATACAGTTGGAAAGAACTATCCTTCCTCTTTTCATTTACCTACTCTTATCTGAAAATGGTTAAGCCTGAGCTACGAACGACTATAACCTCTCACAGCACTTTTTCGGTACTCAAAAGGTACACAAATTTGGTAGAAATTGGAAGGTCAATATCACCCATGCCACATCGATTTAGACTAAGCCATTTTAACTAAACATAGTTTGTTTATAGATAAGTTAGACCGTTGAATAAAATAATTGGGCAAATGCAACGGGGCAGATATATAATTGCATGAATGCGCAATGGTTCAGCCACTTGGCCGCTAAAACTTCCAAAAAAAATTCGGTGAAAATTTGAAAAGAAAATTCTTTAAAAATTGATCGTGTCTCTTAAAGCCTATCTATCGCTTAAAAAACCCTCCCTTGTAATGTAAAAAGATGACCTTTTGATTCTGATCTTGCGAAGAGCTTGAAATATGCGCTAAAATGACAATTATAAATTTTGTTACACACGGCACTAGCTCAAGTTGGGTGAGGACAAAACATGGACCAGGGGTCCATGGACCCCCTCTTTGGACCGGGTCCATGGACCACGTTCATGGACCGGGTCCATGGACCCCCTGTCATGGACCAGATCCATGGACAGTTTTTTTTTTTTTTTATAAGAATAAGGTTTTGCACCAGGTCCATGGACACTCAAAAACAGAAATACAGTCGAACCCTGCTATTTCGAACTCGGCTAATTCGAAGTCCCCGCTATTTCGAAGGAAGATCGAATTCCCTTGGATTTACCCTTCTCCTTTACGCTTCCCCGGTTATTTCGAAACCCCGCTATTTCGAACTTTTTCCCATTTCCCTTGGGACCTCGAAATAGCGGGGTTCGACTGTAGTGCCAAAAAAAGATTTCACGAGACGCTGTCGACCAATGCTCACGATTGATACAAATATTTAGTTGTGCTTACATGACGTACACTCTGCTTGCACAAGTGCAGTCGCAAGACTGTTAAATTAAGCTAATTCAAAAGTTATCACCAAGAGAGGAATTACGCCCTCCAGTTTAAAGACTCGCATCACCCTTACAAAAACAAGCTGGAGTTAAGAATTCATTGCTTTTAGAGCAGTCATGACTGAGTCACATCGCAATTCTCCATAGTTGATGTAGCTTCAGTTTAAGCTACAATCCATGCCACAGTCTTCTTCTTCGAGATCTGGTTCTGTAAATCACTCAGTCCGTGAGAATTTATAATCGTCCTGCTTAAAGCGCTAAGGAGCTGGGCCCAGCGTGACAAAACATTGCAGGAAAAAGTGACATTCATGGACAAAAACAAAGTGGCTTAGAATTATTCAGATCCAGGATGCACTTTGGAGAAATTAAACAACCTAAAACCCTTTTAATCAGCCGCAATGAACAGCTTTACATTTTAAAAGAGGTAGAAAATCAATATGTGTCACGACCTCTCAGTATGAAATGCGCGGCAAAATTTGCATTTGCTCAGTCAAAACGTTTTCCTTCGAAGCATAATCTACCATCAGAGAAAACAATTCGTTGGAACAAGTAGCATTTTGGCATGAGGTACCGACCCCCCTTTTTTACACCATGTAAGCACAACTAAACATTACTGATCAATCGAGCATTGTTTGTTGTTGTTGTTGTTTTTTAACCTTATTTTTGTACTATTTCTGTTTTTGTTGATTTCTCGTCATTAAAAAAAACTGTCCATGGACCCGGTCCTTGACAGGGGGTCCATGGACCCGGTCCATGAAAGTGGTCCATGGACCCGGTCCAAAGTGGGGGTCCATGGACCCCTGGTCCATGTTTTGTCCTCACCCGCTCAAGTTCGCTCTTCGAGTAGCCAGACCAATAGAAAGCCGCTCGTGTACCGCACAGTTACAATTTTTCTCTGTAATATTTCGCTGTATACAGCTACAAATTACATATTTTCTTCGGCAAAGATAACGCAAACGTTGTCAATTTTTATCTAAAGGCTAGAAAAACAAACTGTGCACTGCAGCTTTATGCAAATTATATGGTATTCGATAATTACACTTGTAAACAGGAACCTACCTTTGCTAATGTACATTTGGCAGATCTTTCCAGCGTAAGATATAAAACTAGTACATGAAATGAAATTAAAGAACTCATCAAGTCAAGTTACCTGATCGTACCGTCATTACTGAATAATAAGTCCGAAAAATATGACATGGAATGATCGGTGGGAGACGAAGCTATTTTTATGAGGACAAATAACTGCACGCTGGAACGGAACTGAAATGAACAACCTTAATCAAGTTCAGTCTTCTTGACGCTATTAAACGTTTCACCCGACTTTGAACAGGAAGTTGTGTTTTATTTTCTTTCTCATTCTTGCATGTATTCTGCAGTTCGCCCAGTATTTTTTCGTAACCTTGAATTTTTTAGCAAACTGGAACTGTTAAGAACTACGACTCCCCCCCCCCCTTCCCCTCTTTGAGCAAACTTTCATTTGGTGTGATTAACAATAATTTTCGAAAGGTGACAAAGTGAAATTTGAAATGACATTTTATTTTACTTTTTTTAAAAAGCTCCTTTATTTTCCCCGATAGCCAGGAATGTTTTGAACGTAAAGGCTCAAGTGTCGGTGTTTTTCACGACTCTGCTTGTGGACTGACCTCTCTACCAGTATTACATCATGGACATAAAATCTGATCCGAGAGGGTCAAACAGTAACTGATGGGTCTCTGAAAAGCGAAATGCAGTCACTTTGGGGCGAGTAGGCTATATAGATGATGAACTCATTGTTTATAACTCCATGACCGTATCCCAAAAGTCGAGCCAGCCCGGGGCGAGCGAACACAATTTTGGGGCCACTGGCCACGCCCTTATGTTTGGCGGGAAATTGGCTGATTTGTCAAATCTCGTTAACTCCACGACCATGCACCTTTCCAAATATTGCCCTCCTAATCATCATATAGTCAGGACCTCCCGTAAGCATTTGCAACTATTCTGATTTGTAGAAGACTGTTTAACAGCTTTCAGTACTTTAATGTCTCGTAAACAACACGAGGTACATGTTCTGATCTCTCCCTACCCCCCCATCCATGACAAAAAAATTTCAGACCAACACTGAAGGTAAGTACAAAAATATGACCATCTCGAGGCAAGGTTCATCACTGTAACTTACCACATAAAAGCCTTTTCGTTGTTGCCATCGACTGATTCTGTTCTGAATACTGAGGTTCCATAAACAACGCCACGTTTAGAAGGAGCCCGCCCTTTTCAATCCAAGAAAACCCAAGTAGCAATTTCACCAACGGACATAAGCCGTAAGAAAAGGACCGCGTTAAATAGTTCATAAAATCACACACGCCTCATGACACCTTTAATTAACTCTTTGTTGATAAACTAATTTTTTATACTCCATTTGCATGGTGTACATTTTGAAGAACATTTGAAAACAATTTGGATTCCTACCCCTATACCTTTATTAAAAATTAAAGTTGGGAAGTTTGTTGTTTCCCAAAAGTAGTTTGAACAGCCGAACGACATTTTTTACGTGGAGTGGGGACGGCAAAGCTTGACTTCTCTCTTCTAAGGTAGAAAGTGTCAGCAAAACGTGAGAGTCGTCCTTGAGGGTAAAGTGTCTAACCTAATTTTCTCACCGACTGCAAGTGCTATTTCATCCACGCATAACCTCACCTAGTTAACAGAATTAGCAAATGTAATGGGGAAACGTTACGAGAGAACTGAGTAACAAGTTAGGGTAAGTTTTGAAAATTGTGCGCGCACCTGGAAAATCCTGGCCACGCTCCTGATAGATACTTTTGCTGGAGACAAATTGAAACGTGCTCGCTAATATAGTGACGACCAGAAAGGACAAGCCATAGGATAGTTCTAGAAAACCACCTATTAAAATAGATCATGAAGTTGTCGCGGCGGAGGATGAACTTGCATGCAGGCTTTTGATGAAGTGCAATTTTTCAAGGGAGCCCAGACAAGATTATGTACGATGGGCACAGACTGCAAAACAGTCCGTATTTTTGCGCATTCAACTACGCGCTAGCAGTCAAACAAAAGGTCCGAGGCTGAAAACAGAGAGCGAGACTCGAACCTTTTGTTTGACTGTTAGCGCGTAGTTGAATACGCAAAAATACTGACTGTTTTGCAGTCTAGTCTACGATGGGCACAGCTTGTTTGATCTGGAAAATTTAGAGAAGCTCAAGGCAAATCGTTAGACAACACATACTAGAGCTGAAATAAAAATCTTTTGCGCTTTTGAACTCTGTCCCTAAGAGTAAAGGAGAAATTTTCCTTTTATCAATGCATTAACCAAGTTGATTATGAATGTTTTCTTATGTTGGACGTCTTTCTAACAAGCACATTACCACTACTTGTCCTCAGAGGCGTTCTTGACGAGCAGGGAAAATTAGGTTTTAACGGTTTGAAATTCAGGATGCCAGAGTGAAGACGCCTTTTGTATGATGACGTCATCGTCCTGCAGCAAAAAGCGTTCGTTTTTTACCACGATATTACGTCAATCGGTACATTTATGTTGTCGAAAGGTCCGTGAGTATGGTAAATGATTTTACATTAAACTGCAGCCACATCTTCAATCACTCGTTATTGTTCGCGATATCGGATAAACACTCTGGTCGCTAACTGAATTTTCTTTACTGTTTACTTTATTTTGAATTAGGACTGTCTTGAGTTGTCCATGCATTGACTGGCGATTTTAAGCCTTTTCAAGGAACCAAAAATCCAGAATTGTTCCAATAGGGTGAGGCATTTGCGCACAGTTTTAAAGCCCTTCGGTGGGGTGACTGTGGTTTTTGTAGTCCTGGCCCGGGTTGCTCGAAGCACGGTTGGTGCTAACCAGCGTTACATACCATGGAAACCTATACATTTTGATACCTCTTAACCAACGATTAGCGCTCACCCCTCATTCTTCTTAACCCTTTCCAAACCAATTTTACTTTTTATCAAAAAACCCTTTATGGAAAGACAAAGAATCTCCTCAAAACGGGCTTCGTGACTGAGACAAAATACCTGAAAATTCTGCACGGAACCGTTGTTAATGGTGTACAAGGTAGAATGAGTATTATTACTTTGCCAACGCCCAGCGCCCAACGCCCAGCGCCCAACGCCCGGAAGTCATTATGTTTATTTCAATGGCTCATGTCTCATGAGTTTTGAGTAAACGCTGTAAATACATGTAACTGGAACTATCATCGCATCCTC